CAAAAAAAAATTCAGCAAAAATTGGTCAAAAACGCAATTCATTAAAATTACGAATGTTGAAATTTTTGAGGTTTCTTGTGACCGGAGTCCCTGGTGCAGTGCACTGTTTACATTTATACTGAACTTTATCTATCCATGTTCTAAATAGGATTAATTTCTCTTTTTCTAACTCTACTCAAGTAAAACCTTATTGTATAATGTAAAAATTACATGTTAATGAGTTTCCAATCAATTCTAGGACATTCCCATAACTTAGGACCTTTAGTGTTAATAATAGCAAATCTTCATTTATTCCACCCTCAAGGTAACGACGAGTTTATGTGTATATGTTTTTTATAGCAAGGCCACATCGGGCTATCTGTGTGTCCACCGAGGGGAATCGAACCCTTGATTTTAGCATTGCATTCCAGGATCCAGATTAATTCTAAAAGGTTTGTTTGTTTATTTTTGAATTTCGCGCAAAGCTACACGAGGGCTATCTGCGCTAGCCGTCCCTAATTTAGCAGTGTAAGACTAGAGGGAAGGCAGCTAGTCATCACCACCCACCGCCAACTCTTGGGCTACTCTTTTACCAACGAATAGTGGGATTAATCGTCACATTATAACGCCCCCACGGCTGAAAGGCGAGCATGTTTGGTGTGACAGGGATTCGAACCCGCGACCCTCAGATTGCGAGTCGAGTGCCTTAACCACCTGGCCAATTCCAGAAGGTTGAACAGTATTCAGAATAGCAATCCAATAGCTTCTATCTGCTTTAGTGTTGTTAGCTCTTTCAATTTGTCTGTCCATTTCGGTATCTATATATCCCCTTTGTAACTCAGCGGAAAAACATCCTAAATCAGAGCAATACTAAACTTTCAAATAAAATCCCTCTTATTATTACCTATCACTTTAAACTCAGAAATGTTTCACTAATTCCAAAAAAAAACTCATCTCACACAGCTCAAAAATCGTCTTAAACAGATATTTCCTGAAGTTCCCATTTTCTCCTTCAGAAAAGCAGAACTCTAAAAGATATCCTTGTTCACACAAAAGTGAATTACATCCCACCTAAAATTGGTTGCCGTCCATGCAATAAAGTCCGTTGTCAAACCTGAAAGTTCTAAAAATTACTGACTCATTGTCTGACAAGCACAACCAAAGGAACAAAAATGAAAGAAGCTTAGTGGATTGCTAATCTAAACATTGTTAGACCTTTTGGAATTAATATAGATCCTGGAATCAGTGATATCCGTTCATTGTTTTCATCTCTGTCAGATAAATATCTTTTATTATTTGCTTATTTTTTTTATGTAATGTGAACGCAGAATTTCCTAAAACTTACTATCTTTTAAGATAGCCTCCCAATGGCACAGCGGTATGTCTGCGGACATACAACGCTAGAATCCGGGTTTCGATACCCGTGGTGGGAAGCACAGATAGCCCATTGTGTAGCTTAGTGCTTAATTACAAACAAACAAGCAAACTTTTAAAATAATTTTCATACCTGTATTTATAAATTGATTAGCATAACATATTTTTTTCAATCAGTCTCCAGTTATCACCTTTATTTTACTTAAACAGTTAAGTATGTTTTTAAATGTATATACATTTAGCCATTTCTAAAGTAAAATATCCCTAACACCTTTTCACATAATCTCTCGCCGTCGGCTACATTGTACCGGAAATGAGACGCTTACAACAGTCCATAGAGAAGTAGACTAAACATTTTCTGGAAACTGAATGACCTTCACGACGTCACTAAACTCCCTTTACATATATCATTAATTCGATTACACCACAATTCCCAGTTTGGTCCTGAAGAAGAAAGGTCCACCTTTCGAAAGTGCTCGGGTTATAGGGTTTTTATTCATTGCTATCAAGACTTCTTCAACCTGCGTGTTTTTCTAACATCATGAATCAATCTGTTTCACGATGTTCCGCCTACGTAAGAACGCTTTAATAAACTAGTCTCCCGTTTCTACAAACAACCATCCTCCTGGAACAAACAGACTAAATATTTTTTTTTTAAATTAGCAGCCACCGTTGCTCCTTGGCATATTTCATCAGTGAACCTAATAAAGAACTTAAACGGTAAAAATACTTAACCAGCTCCCTGTTCGTCGAAACATATTACACAATGATTCATACCAATATCTTTGGGTATAAACGCCTTATTCATTAAAGGTTCTTCTTAAACACTCTTCTTAGGCCAAAGATCAGTGACATATAAAACCAGTTCGTCATCTAATTGGTCTAAACTGAAAACAAAACCTTTTTGTTGCAAATATTGTCTCATAATTATATTTTAGATATGATGTGAATATAAAGTACTTAAAGCGATATTTTTCATTTATAAACTAAGCTAGAATTATATGGTCTTACTTAGTTAGCCAAAATCCCTTATGAAACAAGTCGTTTAGAATTAGTGCTATGTAGAAAAAACAGCAACATAAACCAAACTTTTCATTCTTGTGATGCCATAATTCTTGGAAGGACTCTACAAACTTGCCTCTTGCAATACGTGTCATAGACAACGTGATTTGAAGAGTTTTTCGATACAAATAGTTTAATAACGTTGCTCTTTATCCGTTCATTACCATCGGTAACTCTACTGAACATAAAAGAAAATTAAAGGTTTGAGGCCAAAACAACAGAAACTCTTAATTTGAATAATCCTTACATTAGTTTTCCTATTGTTAAAATTAAACAGTCTTTCATCAACAATTTCATGATATTTTGATTATCCTGGTAAATTAAGGATTTAAATTAGTAAATAAAAATATAATCAAAAAACACCTTAGGTGCGAAAAAGAAAGGTGCGGCCAAAAAACGATTGAATGTGCGATAGGAATGAAATATTTTTTGTTCAACTTGGGGCATGATGGAGGGTAAAACAAAATACGCATCACAGCTAACTAATGAATGAATATTTACTATAAAATTTTTATCTTTGCTACTAGTGTAGCTACCAGTTTGGCCGTCAATTTTCATTTCATTCCTTTAATTCGCCTGCTGAATCCTTTTTGGCCGCACTTTTTTTTTTCCAAACCTAATGTGTTTTTGATTAGACTTCATGACTTTTTGTCAATACACATCAACCAACCACAGCAAGCTAGAAAAAGTGACACTCGATAGTAACCCACATTAGCTTTAGGATCGCAACCTTTTTATTCGGAACAGACCTTTAATTTACAGAATCAAACAGATTATTCCTAATTTTGTTAGTTTTTATGTTTTTTCTCTATACCCTTACATGATATAAGGTACAGAGCCTTAGCTATCTGTCATCTAGCTAAATTTTAGGAGCCTTCTAGCTTTTCCGACTTACAAAAATGGAGTTTACTATATTAATGTTTTGAATAAACTGGAAATATCAGTATTAGAAGTCTTTTAAACACAGTTCTTTGTAATAAAGATAGGTTTCAAGCTATGTAAATGAGTGAGCATGACCACAAGCGAGCATTACACATGATTTGTAGCTGGTCAGTGGCAGCACAAATAGGATCAATGTTTCAAATATAGATTTTAGTAAACTTATATAACTTATCAGAGGCATGCAGGTCAAGTGTATAATGTACAAAAAATTGCGATTTAAACTGTTCGTGCAGTAAAATCAAAGTATCTTCTTATGCTGGATGCAGAGTCCCCTAATGCTTTAGAAGTAATGGTAATTAAAGTGGCAGTAATTAAACACTGAAATAAATCAGTATCTTTGCGTTTACGCTATTTTACTGTTAATGATAAATCATGCTTGATTTATTTATTTAACTAAAAATGTTTTATGTTTTAATTAATGTATCTAATACATATTAAACGCAATTTATCTTCCTAGGCACATTTGAGAAAAAGGCATATTATGTGGCATTGTTATCAGAATTATAAACTATAAATTTAGATCTGTTTTATCTTCTTTATAGCTTTAGGCTTATCTTTCCATTTTCTAAAAACATGTTTTAAAGAAAAAAGTGTTAACTAGAGTTCTTAAGCATTTATGTCATGAATATTGCTAGATGGATAATCAATGTAACATAAAACTTTAAGTTAAATATCCAGGCCATAGTAAAATATATCATGTATATATGCTAATGCTGGTATTGAAAGGATCAGTGACTGCACTATCCAGACGGCCAGCTACAAAATCTCAATATCCTACAACCACCCAACGCTGTAACAAGCCACAAAGTAATGCTGTCGACTGGACAAAGAAACTGAGTTTACCTGTAAAACCGAAACATGTTTTCTTGGTTCAGCTCTACTAGCAGATGGGCAAGTATAGACACTGTTTGGTTATCATTCTTGTTTGTTTCTAAAGAAAACAATGCCGAGAGTAAAGGTTGTGAGTTTACACACAGCCTAATAAAAGTAGCGACTCAGTCAAGTTATTAAACACGGTACTCTACATATTCTCTAGTTGAATCTGCTGTTCTCAGCAGACCTGGCTGATACTCATTAGAAAGTTAGTTTAAACAGAAAACACCACATCCTGACGCCCATATCAATACATTTGAACAAATTTATTTAATTCTTTACATCAAATACATTTGAAGTCTTTTCTGAGAATGCTACAGATGATCCTCTTTCTTATCATAAACTATTATAGCATAATATAAAGTAGTATTTTAAATGTTTTTTGTGAATTATTAGTAAAACAAATACGTTTCACCGAAGACCAAATTAACCGTGAATATTATAATCATAAGCCACATTAATTTAAACTTAGTATGCATATATATAGATATATAGAAATACACTTTTTATCAAGTAATGTTTTTTTTGTAATTCAACTGATTATAAAACTTTTGTATAAAGAAACAACATTAAAGTTACTATTGGTAACAAATAAACAACGACAAAATTGTAGAATTTCGCTCTTATATGATTTAAGTTGTAGATTGTTATGCAGTTAATAAAAAAATCATAAGTGAAATCACAGACGCCAAAGTCTTCACTTTGTTTCAACCATAGACTTAGAGGATATTTTTCAGATGTGGAGAGGGGCAGTACAATTTTTTTCCCGAATAAGGTTTTGAGGTTATATTTTCTGCCTGAAAAATCTACCCGAATGGCCGAATGTATTGCAAGCTAAGGGGAGCTCGCCCCCCCCCCCCCGCCTACGGTGTCAACTCTTTACTAGCCGAAATTCCAGCTGCCACTGATTTCTGAATACGATTTGATGTCTCTGCAGAAATCATTGGTAGAGCACCATCCAAGTTCTGCTTCAATTGAGAAATTCTTTTATTGATGCGATGATTGAATTCATCTTTTTCCATAAGAACAAGCGACTCAATCTGTCTCTGAGCGTCCTTGCATCCATTATGAAGTTTTTGTCGTTCTTGAATTATCAAAGCTTTATCCGTTTCTGGATCTAATCCAAGGAGTGTCCCAAGGCTGGACACTCTGTCCATTATGTATTTGCTTGAAACCTGAAATTAAATATTTTCATAACATCAATGACGTGTTATAAACAATTTGTTAAATATACTGAATATTTAAATACAAATGTTCATGCCACTCAATTATGCTTTGCAAAGGTCCATACATAGATTTGATAAAAAGAAAAGAAAATGCATTGTAAAGTGATTTTGCACAAATCCTACTCAAAAAACTACCAGCATCAAATTTCCATAATTTTGAAATGATAAATGAGAGGGAAAGAAGCTATTCAATACCACTCATTACCGTATCACGGGCTACACTAATAGAATATTGGAATTTTACAGTTACTCTTCTAACACACCTATGGCCACAAAGTACAGAGTTCGATTTTTATCTTTGGTCAGTAACGGGGTGCAAACTACGAAACTTCTAATCCACAGCCAGGCACGTTATGTATTCTAAAGATTAGTTGGTGAAGAAAATGATATGATTTTAGGACTATTCTGAGCTATTGATAATTTACTAATAACTTAGATTAAAATTTCGTAATTATCTTAAAACATTTGTTTAGCATAACGTATTGTTACGACAGCGGAAGTCACGTGACGCTGGTAGGACGTAATGCGTATCTCGAACGTTCCTGAAAACTCGAGTGTTTGCCAGACTCCCTCTATTTTGTACATACAAGACCGGCGAGAAGTGACGGCATAGATAATTGAACAGCAGACAGGGAGATAGAGACAGATAATCGAGTCAAGCCGTAAGTAAATCGTGTAAATCGTTGTGAATTATAGCGTGTGTTTAAGTTAAAGTGACTGTGGAAATTCTGTGTATTGCAAAGTTGTATTGGGGAAGAATAAACTACTTTTATTTAAGAAAGCGCTTGTATCCCTGAAGTTCCTCAGGAAGAATTTTTACGGGAAATTATCAAACGAACAGAGACGTAACAGTATTATATCGATAAAACAGTTAATAACATAGACGAGGCTATAATGTAACCTGCTGTAAAAGTTAAGCCGAGTTAAACGTTAACTGAAAAACTACGAAGATTAAACTTACTTTAATTTTTCATTTGAGTTACTAAAACTGTTTGGCAAATATCAAGTAGAATCGGAAATAGATCCGATTCCTTAAATATTTTGTGTATTTGTTGTTAAAGCAACTCAATGGGCTATCTGTGCTCTGTTCATCTTGTGAATAGAAACCCGATGTTTAGTGCTATAAACCTTCAGTAGCCTTATCTCTAAATCATTGAGGGGGTAGTTAATGACTAAAAGTATATATATATATATATACCTTTCTAATTGTGTGTACCTTTTTAAGTCATGATAATTATAGGGCAGAGGTTAGAATGTACTCATGAAGATGTATTTGTTTTCAGTTAAGCACAAAGCTACCCAATGGGCTATCTGTGCTCTCCCCACCACAGGTATCTAAACCTTGTATTTAATGTTATAAGCCTACAAATGTACCACTGTAACACTTGGGGGCGTTGAAGATGAACAAAGTTAAATGCCAACTGTCCATCTTTCTATGAACTAGTCTTACATGAAGCTTATTTTTTGTTCATTACAAAAGTTAATATTATAATTATTTGATAATTAGCACTATCATTTCTCTGCTTTTACCCGTAATATTTCTAAAATTACTCGAAGGCACAATGTTTTTTTTACTGTTCTAAAAAACTTTTAGGACAATGAAAAATAACGAAAACTTTACATTTTTGCTTCCATAATATGAACGTTACATTTTTATAGATAATAGTAATCCAAAGATGGTCTTCAACTTCAATTTGTTAAAACTACGACAAAATGTAACGTACTTTTATTATCTCGTTGCTAATTGAAAGAGAAACATGAGAAAAATATTACTACGATTTATCCCTCTCCATAGGCTTACAATGTTAAATACTGAGTTACGATACTTGTGGTGGGTTAAGGACAAATCACATTTTCTAGCTTTGTGCCTTAAATCAACCAAACCAGCCAAACTAAAAGGATTAAATCAATCCAAAACTTTAAAAAGAGATATATTTCAAATAGTAATAACTTGTAAATAATATTAGTCTGTATTTACTCAGGTCAGTTCGCTTACAAAAACCTTACAAACTCGTATCACTAACCATATTAAGTGATTTAACCAAACATAATTATGTTTTACTAGTTAATCACACCTACCTCTACGTATACTCCTGAAATCGAATTGACCATGTACGCAATTTTAGCAGCTTCAAAGGCTTCCTGGTAAATCATATCTTTCACTAAATCACTGATATTGTAACCTTCTATACCACAAACTTCCCCTTTCTTCACGTACTCGACAAAATTATTTAAAGAACTGCTAAGGCTGCATTCAATAATATTAGACATCATTTGGAAGAACCGAACCATCTTTCCCCACTGATGCCGCACTTCTCCAAGAGCTTTCATTCCTTTGATTAACATTTTTCTAATTTGTTCAAAATTGATTTCTTGTATGTCCAACTTAGCCATGTCTGATAGAACTTTTGTTAGTTTTTTATTGGCTTCGACTAGCTTGTCATAAGAAGAAGATTGTGATTCTTTTACATTTTGCAAGTGTTGAGATGCATGCTCTAACTTATACTTGCCATTTTCGATTATACTTTGAACAACGTTTCCGTCTCCTTTACTGCTCCACATAGCTTGCTTAGGTGGTTTCCCGTCCATAGCAGTTGAACCTAAAAATACTTTGGCTTCTGTCATAAATTCCATTGCTTCATCATTTACTTTTCTTATTCTCTCAACTATCAATTCCGTTTCGTTAACTCGAATGCCTTTTTTCATCTCTTTGAGATCTTTACAGATACCGATCATTTTATTACATATATCTGCAGCTTTAATTTGCATTTTCGATATACTTTCAGTACCGATTTCTTTTCGAACTATACCGGTGTATACAGCAACATAACTCACACATTCTCCTCTTCGAAGTTCCTCTTCATTTAATGAATCATCATCTTGGATCAAAGTCTGTAACATCTGGGACAAACTTTGAATAACTTCTGCTTTAGAACAAACCTTAATAAGGCTTTTTAATGTGGCTTTATCCATTTTAAGTTGACTAGGTGTTGACTCTGTTGTCGTGGGCTTACCTGTTTCTTCTGTATTTACCTTTTCTTTTCTACTCATTATGGAAGACATTCCATTTAAAACGTTCTTCACACCATTTGAAAGACCTTCTACAAACGACATACCGATTAATTCCCACCCACTTGGAATAGATTTCATAGCTTCTTCAAATGTTTTCTCTGCTGATTGAATCTCTTTCTTAATTTCTTTTAACTGATCTTGAGCCATGGAACGTTCTTCTTGAACAGCTTTTTCATGTTCTTTAGCAACTTTCAGTGCTATTTTTGTTTCACGAAGATCATCTTCATAAGAACATTTGGCACTTGTACAAGCTTCCAAAATTTCTGCTGTTAAATTCATGACATGTATGAATCTATCTTCTGTAGCTTGAGCCAAATGTAGACATTGATCTGCAATATGTTTAATCCCACGCAACGGAATGGGTAAAACGTTTTCAATGTCTTCACTCGTACCTTTCATAAGAATGTTAACAGTTTTTTCCAAATATACGGGGACATTGGCAGAATGTAAGCGAATTTGATCCATGTTTTTGTGAGCTTCGTTAAAAGCATCCCATCCAGCATTACTGACTTGAGCCAAAGAAGCACGAAAAGAAGATGGATATCGCATAAATTTAAACCCACCTTCTGGTTTAGCATTCTCCAGACTGAAATCTGTGTCGTTCGTTATCAACATTAGATCTCCTAAGAGAGCAATAGACAATGGAGCAGGAACTAAGTATTGTTCCCAATTGGTGTGAGGAGTCATGACGAGAGCCATTTCCTCTTTGATATCTTTTCCTGTAGTAACAGATCTGAGTTGTTTATTTAGCTTGGAAATACTATCTTTCTCTCCAGTCGCCATTTATAAATAAACTGAAATGACAAAAAAGAAATGAAAAACAGCATTTATTAAAACAGTATTTTGTCTCGTAACATACTTTACAAATAAATTATAATACTGTTGAAACTTTTGTAGTTATACCCGTTATACCGGCAGCACAGAAAACAAAGACTTGCAGTTGTTGAATATATCAGGTGCTTTAGCACTACTCTGATCTGTTAATAAATCTACCATTAACTTATTTTAGGGGACAAAAGGCAATGCAACAAACACTTATAATTAATTATAAATTATCAGCTTTACTTGTTCTGATGAATTTAACGCAAAGCTACTCGAAAGCTCTCTGTGCTAACCGTCCATACTTTAGAAGTGACAGACGAGACGGAAGAGAGCTAGTTAGCACCACCTAACGCCAATTCTTGATCTACTCTTTAACAACGAAAAATGAGATTGACCGTCACATTATCATGACCCACGACCGCAAAGACAAGCATGTTTGTTGACGGGATTCCAATCTGCGACCATCAGATTGTGAGTTAAGCCCTTTAATGGGGGTTTAAAGGGACTTTCAAAACTGGCTATGCGGACTTACTTGAGAATTCATAAAACCATGTAAATATTATTTCAAAACAGTGGTTATTGCTATATTATAATCTTTAACTGTCGTACAACTCGATGAGAACTACAGTAAGTACACTTTGTAAATTTTATTATGAGGTTTATTACCCTCTCCCGAAAATGCCAGCTTATTCGTACCAAACAACGAGAAACCATTCAATAAGATTTCGAGAGGCCACATTTACCGAGTATTGCCGGCCTCTGTGCATCTATTTGAAGAAAAGCAGCTTTAGCATATATACCTAAAACTGTGAGTTTTAAGTTAGAACCCACCACCTGCAGTTTTAAGGCTATATTCTTTAGATAACGTTTATGAAACTTGATTTAGCACTTCATTAATTAACCACTTTGGGAATGTACTTATCACAATAGCTGCAAGAACCTTATTAAAATAATTTAGATAAATATGTATTTCAACAAACAATATGACTTCTGAATATATATGTATCTCTGTTGTTGGCCATCCTTAAAAGTGCCCGGCATGGCCAGGTGGATAAGGCGCTCGACTCACAATCTGAGGGTCGCGGGTTCGAATCTGCATCCCACCAAACATGCTCGCCCTTTTAGCCGTGGGGGCGTTATAATGTGACGGTCAATCCCACTATTCGTTGGTAAAAGAGTAGCCCAAGAGTTGGCGGTGGGTGGTGATGACTAGCTGCCTTCCCTCTAGTCTTACACTGCTAAATTAGGGACGGCTAGCGCAGATAGCCCTCGTGTAGCTTTGCGCGAAATTCCAAAAACAAAACAAACCATCCTTAAAGAGCTCTATGTGTTCCATAATTTGAAAATTAAACCATATTCTCTTCAGAAATTTAAACATTGAGAATGTCTCTTCCATAAAATATGCAGTATTTTCAAATATTTATTTTAAATGTCTCTTAGCTATATACACTTTTCACTGACTTATTTATTGCTATTATTTAAGCTAAATATTTCTAGGAACGTTTGTTTTATTTGTTTGTTGTTAAGCGTAAAGAAGGTGTAACTAAACTGAATTATGAACTGTTCCATATTTAAAAGGTCCCCCGATGGGCCAGCAGTATGATAAAACTATATATTTAACTATAAATATATTATAAGTTTTGCTACCATTTGTATTATTTATTGGATATGTGAAGTGGTAGATAAATGTACGAATCCTCTGATACTTTTACCCTAGTAACATAAATAATTGTTCTTTCGAGAAAGATTTCTATGTGACAGTGACTTTGATTTTTCAACAACTGAAAATACAATAATGTCCTGTTTTATGGACCACTTCATTTCAGTTTGAGTTCCATGACAGGAAAAGTCCACAGCAACTACTGTCCACGATTCGACTTTACATTATTGTCTTTCCTTGGAGCCCCTCATTGGCTCAGCGGAAGTCTGAGGGCTAATGTCACTAAAATCTTGGTTTCGATACTTGTGGTGTGCATAGCAAACACAATTCATCACGTTTAAAAGAATGACCTGAATTCTATAAGGCAATTGGAAACTTATAATTTGAAAACGATGTGTTTTATAGGCATTAAAATTTCATGAGATGAAATAAAATATCCTTGTAGTGTTTTTGTTTAACAAAATGCTATTTCACCAAAAGTTATAAGTTATTTCAACAGGAACTGAGAAATGTTAGTATATTTTGATTTAAACACTGGCAAGGAGGATCTGTGGGTTTTAATGACGACTTTAAGATCAAAATGTTTAATACGATATATCTAGAACATCTAGAAAACTCTAAGGATGTGACATAAAGTGTTCCAGTACATTTGAAACTATATTATAAATATCACATGATTGTGAAGTGTATAAAGTGAACTAGTCAGTGTGTTACCTATCTCGGTTACTTTCAACGACTAAGTTGATTTGTATTAAGTTAGTTAACGTCAGTTGTAATATACATCTACAGCAACTTAGGCAGTGTACAAGTCTTCCACTTTTTAGAAACGTTAAAGAAGGAAATAAGTTAATTTATTATCGTTATGTGGACTGAATATTGTATTATTTTCACCAAAAAATTTAAAAGAACCCACCAACGATAGAACAAGAGTACAACACTTGGTGTCAGAAGTGGGATATTTTGGTGAAAATAGTTTGATTTGTTTTTAGTATCGCGCAAAGCTACACGATGGCTATCTGTGCCTGTCCGTACCTAATTTAGGAGCTAGTCAACCCCACTGACTGCCAACTCTTGGGCTGCTTTTTTTACAATGAATAGTGGGATTCAGTATCACATTATGAAGACTCCATGACTAAAAGGGACAGAGATTTGAGGTCGTGACCCACAGTTTACTGGTCGAG